AACATGGCTCACAAATAATGTAAATTCTTCGGAATTAGGCTTTAAAAATTATAATGTTTTTCGATGTGACAGAAATGTTCTCACAAGTAATTTATCTAAGGGTGGTGGAGTACTTATTGCTGTTAAATCTCATATAATTTGTAAAATTTTAAATGTTACTGTTAAATGTATTGAGCAGATTTTTATTCAAGTTCAACTAGGAGCTAATATATTTATTATTTGCTGTATTTATATCCCGCCCAATTCACCTCTTACTCTTTATGAACAATTTTTCCTATCTATTAATGAACTTTACTTATCTAATCCTAAAGCCAAATTTATATTATTAGGTGATTTTAATTTACCCTTATTAGATTGGTCATTTTATTCTTTACCATTAATTTGTAATTCTCAAATCGATTCTTATTTTGTTAGCATGCTATCACACTATAATTTTAATCAATTTAATTTTATACGCAATCACAGCAATGTCATTCTTGATCTAGTCTTATCTAATGCTTACATAACCGTCGATAATGACCCTGATCCGTTAATTCCGATTGATAAACACCACCCGGCTCTTAATATATCACTAAATTGTGAACAATATGAAATCTTAAAAACTACACATGATTTAATTTATGATTTTAATAATTGTGATTACATCGAAATTGTTAAATTTATTGGTGATTCACTCTCCACTATTGATTTAAAATCCTATAATATAAATGAAACAGTTGTTCAGTTTTACCATATTTTGTACGAAGCAATCAATAATTATGTCCATATAAAACGTATATATAATAATTCATATCCTTTTTGGTACTCCAATTCGCTTAAATTATTAGTAAAAGAAAAAAAAATTGCTCACCTTGTTTATAAACAATCTAACAAAATGACAGATTATATTAATTTCTCCCGTCTTAGAGCTAAATGCAAAAGAAATGCTAAATTAGATCACAAAAACTACATAAATAAAGTCCAGTTTTCGATTAAACAGAATCCAAAATATTTTTGGAAATTTATTAATTATTTAACCAATAATGATGCTCTACCTTGCTCTCTTTCCTTAAATGGATCAGTTGCCGAAAATGGTGCTGATATCGTTGAGCTTTTTAGTAAATACTTCTCTGATGCCTATTGTAATTCATCTCAAACATTTAATTCCCCCTCTTTAAATGTAGATAACCCTAATTTAAATTCTACTTTAAATTTAAATTCCATTACTGTTACTGAACTAGAGGTTTTTAATATGATTTCTGACCTAAAATTAAGTTCAACTACAGGCCCAGATGAGATACCTACTATTTTCCTTTATAATTGTAGATTTATCCTAACACCGATATTAACTAGTATTTTTAATTTATCCCTCGCTAGTGGTACCTATCCATCTTTTTGGAAAACGTCGTTTATTTCACCTATTTTAAAAAAGGGTAATCCTTCACTAATTTCAAATTATCGCCCAATCTCAAAATTATCATCAATCCCAAAGTTATTCTCTCACTTAATTTCATCTAAACTTAACAATTTTTGCTCCTCAGTCCTAGTAAATAATCAATTCGGTTTTATACCAAAACGCTCAACATGTAATAATTTAGCCATAACAAAAAACTTAATACTTCAGTCATTTGAATCTAATGCTCAAACTGATATAATATACACTGATTTTTCCAAAGCCTTCGACCAAGTTAATCATGTATTACTTATTAAAAAATTACAATCTTTTGGTTTCTCTGGATCACTTTTTAAATGGTTCCAATCTTTTCTTTCAGACCGTTCCCAAATTGTTAAATACCTCAAATTCAAATCGTCACTTTTCCCAGTCCCTTCAGGCGTTCCTCAAGGAGACCACCTGTCTACACTTCTATTTAATATTTTTATTAATGACCTGCCTAATGTTATAATGAACTCTAATATCCTTATGTTTGCTGATGATGCTAAATTAATAAAAATAATTAAATCTGAACAAGATGCAATTTGTTTACAATCAGATATTAATAACTTACTCACATGGTGTAATAAAAATCACTTATTTTTAAATGTGGATAAATGTAAATTTATGCACTTTTATCTAATAAAAAACCCAATTAATTATTGTTATTCTATTTCCAATATAAATATCGAGCTAGTTTCTCAATTTAAAGATTTAGGCGTTATTTTTGATTCTAAATTAAATTTCTCCCCTCACACAGAAATGATAAGAAATAAAGCTATGCGTAATTTGGGATTTATTAAACGCACTTGTGGCTCATTTATAGATCCTGTTCCTCTAAAAATTCTGTTTTATTCCCTTGTACGTTCCCATCTTGAATACTGTCCTCTAATTTGGTTAAACAATACTTCTAAACAAAACACCGCACTAGAATCTGTTCAAAATAATTTTCTCCGTTTTATTTCATTTAAATTTAACATAAACAGACCTCCCCATAGCTCTTATGACAGCATTCTTAATTACCTTAATTTTAATACACTCAAAGAACGTCGAATGCTTTTGATTTCAAAATTTTTACATAAATTATTATTAGGACTCATTGATTGTCCGGAACTCCTATCATTAATTAATTTAAAAATAAATAATATTAATACTAGAAATCCTAAACCTTTTTATCCTCAATTCTCAAAAAAAAATTACATTTTAAATTCCCCTGCAAACCTTTTGATGACAGCTGGTAATATATATTTGTTTGATTTTTTTAAATGATTTTTTGTATTTTTAGTGAACTTTTCTGAGTTTTTATATTCACTTATATTATAATAGTTTGTTTCATAATGCTGTATACTTTTTCGCATTTATATAAAATTGTTTTTTATTCTTGTATCTTACTTTACACCCATGTAAATTGTTATTGGACTAACGTCCGTTAAAAAATAAAAAATAAAAAAAAATAATGTGTAACTAAAGATAATAATAAAAAAAAAATGTTTTAATTATTATTATTCTGTAAGTAATTGAGTGGGTTATGATAAAAAAATCACTCTGTATATAAATCAATTCTAAAAAAAATGATTGTTAGTTTTTCCTGAATTAATAATAGATTTTTACAATTATATTAATTAAAATGCAAAAAAATATTGATTTTTACTATAAATAGTAATTATAAAACTTTCTGAGTGCATATTAATATAAACGATACAATGTTTTTAATTCTGATAAGTTATGGTAATAAATTATTATTTTTTTATTATTAACTTTCATTAAAATCAACTTTAAAGGATTAAAATATTAGGTTAAATATTTCATTTTCCTTATTTTTAACATATTAATAATCAAAATCAATATTAATTTAAAATAATTTTTTTTCGTTCTTAATTATTTTTTTTCATATGTAAATACTTATTTTTTAATAATAAGTAATAATTTTAAAACTTAGAAGTGATAAAAAAAGTCTAATTGCACATTTAAAAAATTGCGAAAAGTTGATTTAAAAAAATGTATTCTTGTTTCTGATGAAAGTTCCTTGTAGTCTAGTGTATTTGTTCATAGTAACAAAATTTTTTTATTAAAAAGTATTGCATCAAGCCCATTAAATTTTTATATGCATTAAAAGTATTTAACTACTTTATTATTTTTATAATATCTCCGTAAAAATTACAATATTATTATATTATATTATTGAATATCAATTTCATACTAAATTTAATTACTATAATTATTATGTATTCATATACTATAATTATAAATCGGGATAAAATTAAAGGAAGAAGAGTTATGGTTACTTTTTAAATAATCTACCAATTTCTTAAAATTAAACACTATCTACAGATTTGCATCGAAGCGTTTCTTATGATAGTGATTTTAATCACTGTCAGATATTATCTATACTTGTTTCAACTATGCCACGTCCATACTGTGTCGCGACCCTACTGTGCTATAGTTTTTTTATGTTAACTTAATAAAAGATATAAACATAAGAATAAATAATAGTTTTATTACCATGTAACGTCACAAATTCGATGGTGGACCGTTTATGATTTTTTTGTTATGTTTACTTATTTATTAACCTTCTCTTGACACAGCAGTGTCCACCAATCATTATTTTGCCGCTGATCGCTAGATAAGGCGATAAAAGAGAAATATAATTAAAATCGAATTGTTTATCAGTATTGATCCCTTCCAAAAAGACAGGCCGTTATCGATTTGAAATTGCCGTTAGATCGGTGTTGACTCTTCTCTATTCTTTCTTCTGTCATTGACCGTGCTAGGGTGCACACATTTGTTGTTTTATTGACACTCTTTTTTCAATGATGGAGTAGAGCCGCCAACGGCGAACGGCCAGGTCTTTTCGTCGAAGCATCCAGACCATTTCTCTTCGGAGACCGGGTATCGTTTTCTTTTACATATTATATTTATGTAATGAGCTATATTTTAAACTCTTTAGATGTAGATAAATCTGGACTCTAATTATGTCTGACAGCAATTTTTATTAATAAATTATATTCATATTACAATAAAAATAATTCTATTTTATTAAATTTTCATTTTAATAGAAATTTTTGACTAAAACACTAATCAAGATTATTAAAATTTATTAATCTTAGATTTTTTTAATTTATGAAACTATAGTTAATATATTTTTCATAACAATAATGTTAAGTAGTTGTTTGATTTTCTTATGAATCGCTAAAACATATTGTAATTTTATCTTATTAAATTCGAAAGAATTAGTTTTATTACCGAGTATACACTTACGTTATTTTATGAAATTTTTAATATTTATAATCACAAAACAATTAACTTGTTAATTTCAAGTTAAATTTTTTATGTCATTCATTGGCTATTCATCATAATTCTAATTAACTTGATTTGAATAAGAATAATATTTATTGACTTATTTTCACCTTAGGTAAATTATAACAAAAAGTTTTTTTATATTTCTCAAATGTTTAATCAATAAAAATTACAAAATTATACTTAAAATTGTTCATAATAATCACACATAATTATATAATTAAAAAAAATATTATATATAAAAAAATAGTTTAGCTCCATGCATAAGCATAATAATTTAGATCAATTCAAATCACCATGTAGAGAAATTATAATATATTACTTATTATCAATTAAGAAATAGCTATTTAGTGAAAAACAAAATATTTATAAACATCATTACAACATTTTGATACAATACGTAGTGTTGTTATTTTAACATCATGACTCTTGATGTTGTTCTTGTTCCAAAGTTTCTTCTTCTGTTGAAATAGTCTGTCCATTTAGCGTTTGTCTATCTACTGTTCGAGCTACTTGTCTAGTGTGGACTTCGTCTAACCTTTCGGAGATTTCATCACTACGAGCGTTTGTTTTGCTTACCTGTCAAATCATTTAACATAACAGAGTATAAAGAATGTTGTTCCATTAGTTTTTATTTTTGGTTAGTTAAAATATTATAACTATACTGCCGGCCAAAATTATTAGATCACACAATAACTTTAAGATTATTTTCAAATAAGATTTGATATCTTGTTGGTTTATTAAATATTATTATAATATTAACAAACATGATTGCTGTAGATTCAAAGAAAAAATAATTCACCTGCAAAAAATTATCGACAGAAATTTTAATTCGAATTTCTTTGGTGATCTAATAATTTTGGCCGCCAGTATATATAAAGTTATTCGATAAATTTTAAGTACCCATTTCCTTATTTTTAAACTTAGCTTTTTAGTGAAACTTTATTCCATTATTATATTGAAGCATTTTTTTGCGAATAAATAATGTATTAAATAAAAGTTTTTTCATTAAATTTAAATTGTTAGAGAATGTGTTTAAATTATATTTAAAAAATGATAATATTTCGATTAAGAGGAGTTGACATGGAGAGTTTGGGTATCAATATTTTATATACTTACAAGGTGATCAATTTTGGGTAAAACATTGATTTTCTAAGAAACTATTAAACATTTTTATTTTTATAAAGAGAAAAAATTATTTAGTTCAAAAAACTACAGTATTATGTAGCATAATAATTTAATTTTCATTCGTTTAAAGACCTTAACGTTAATATTCTTAAATGGAAACTTGTAATAATCATATGATATATAAAAAAATTACAAACAATTTAGTATTTAGTAATTTGAGATTAAGTTTCTAATTATATTTTATTGTTAAAAAAAACACAAAAGTTCATTTTTCCAATCTATTACATTAACTAGTTTTAATTGACTAAGGTATTTCCAACATACAGATATCTTATCTTTAATAATTGATGACTATTATTAAATGCGTACTGTTATATTCAACGCAAGTTTACCTTCAAACATTGACGGTTACCGGTATAGAAAATATTTATTGACAACTATCATCAAATATGATAGATGGTCTATTGAAACAGATAATTGCCCCTTTGGTATAAAGAAAACCAAATTAATGCTAAACTTTACTATGAATTAAAATTTTTAAACAATCATAAAACGCAAATGATTAGTTGAACAAAAAAATTGCTAAAACAAGGTGTTTCTAATTTTTTTCCCTAACATTTTAAGTTTAAAAATAATGGTTCTAATTTAATAAAACTAAAGTTTTTAAATTTTTTTATCTCTGAAAGGATGAAAAATAGGCTTATTTGACTACATAATATTGTAAAATATTTTGAACTAAATAATTTTTATGAAATGAAAAATTAAACGAACGTTTGAATATTTCTAAGAAAATAAGTTTCTTACTCTAAATCGATAATTCTGTACAAAACAAGAATGTCTTTGTATTTTTATTCAGTTATGATTAACTTTGACTATTCATAGTATATATAATTCATTTTTTATAATGTATAAATATACAATCACTATGTAAATTAGAAATAATTTTAATTTTAATTTATTTTAATTCATACTTAATTATTATTAGTTAAGAAAAAACCAGCACAGTGGGTTCGCAGCATAGTTGGGACAAGTATAAATGATCTGTCAGTGATTAAAAATCACTATAATAAAAAACGCTTCATTGTAACTTTGTAGTACTTAAATTTTAGAAGGAATTATTAAATTATTCCAAAAGTAACAAGAACTCCTATTTTCTTATTTATATCCTGATTACAAATATTTTGATTTATAAATATAATACATGAATAAGTACTGATAGTAATGAAATTGATATTTAATAATCTAGTATTGTAACTTTTACGGAGAAATTATGAAGTTATAAGTTGTTGTATGTAGAGTGAATCATTTTATATAAGCTACTCTATTTCTCTTAAAATTATAAATATGTAAAGAAAATCCTTTTTGGAACTGTGTAGTTTCATATTTCTACATTTTTAAAAATTATGTCAAAAAAGTAAAATTTTTGTGCAAAAGTTGCTATTTTATATCCCCTTCTATGAGCAGGTTAATGGTAAAATTTAAAAAAATATATGGCCAATGAAAAAAAAGTATCTAATGGATTTATAAAAAAAAAATTATTTTGATTTGTTAATTTTTAAAAAAGTTATGGTAAATTTAAGAAAAACAGTTTAAAAATGTCGAAATTTACTGTATTTTAAAATCAATTTTTTGGGGGGAAATTTATCTCATTTAAAGGGAACCAAAAAACTTCTTTCAATTTTCAAGGGCTATGCCTTCAACTAGTTACGATTTGTAATCTTGGGACGTATCGTTGAAAGAAATTGGTCCAGTATGAGCTGAGTAAAAAGGCGATTGTCACAAAAAAATAAATAATCACATCATGGTAAAATTAATGCATTCTCAGCTTCGCATCAAAGTTAAAATTTAATGATATATTAATATATTAACATATTTTTACCTGTCTAAATAATCCTAAGCACTGTTCTTCCAATCTTTTTAACCTTGCTGCTCTTCGTTGAAGTCTATCTGTTTCATCGGGTCGTAATACGTTAGTGTCCGTTTGTTGGATTTCGACTCTCTCGATTTGTGTATTGGGTGAAAGACTATCTAATGTATTAACTTTTGTAATGTTCGTACATTCTTGTAGCCTATTTTCAGAATTTGGACGATCAATATCTGACTCAATATTGTTCTTAGTATTACTTTGTATGTTATTATCAGAAGTATTTGTTCCGATAGCTTCTGTTTGAATATCAGTCTCTAACGTTTCTTCAGTTTCTAATGAAACTTGAAGACTAGAACGTCCATAACGACGGTGTAGTTCATTCAAACGTTCATTAATTGAATCACTTGTTTGACATGTTCGTACCATTTGATTAAGTAATGATCTGTTTTGTTCTTCTAGTTTTTTAAGTCCGCTTGGTTTTTGAGATGACTGATTATCATCAGCCGGATCTAAATCTGTATTTGTGTCCATAGACAATGATTTCAGCCAGCTTTCATCATCGTCACTACTACAGCTATTATCAGCAACAGCCATACGGCTATCATCGTCTTCGTCAAATCCGCTCTCTATTGACATACTATATTTCCGATGAGCAAATTCTTCTCGTAGTATTTGCCAATCATGCTCTGTTTGTGTGTTTTTAACTCTAGCTTGATCCCATTTTTGTTTACAATATTCTAATTCTTGCTTTAACTCAGTAAGTACATTTCTTTTGTGCTGTAATTCGTACCTTAGTATTTGTTCATGCGTATGTAACTTTTTGTGTTGAGCATTCAACTTTGAAACAGCATTCCAAGCTTTATTTAATTCCGTAGTTACAGTATTAAGTCTTTCTTGTTGATGATCTAATCTAGATTCCAAATGATTATTTAGGGTTTTTAACCTACTTATATCTTTAACCAAAGAATTCTTTTCTAAAATTAAATCTTTTAGTTTTAAAAATGTTCTACTCACTGAAGCAACTCGAAATTCAATTATATCTTCTGGTTTTGAATCATTAGATGTTTTTTCATCATAATGACTAAGTAATTCTACTAGTATTCTCCAAACTTTAGGTAAATTAGAAGCAATCTTTTCACGATTTGAAGTATACTCTGTTTGTTCTGAACGTTTTAATGTATCACCAGCAATGTCCATTAAAATGGAAGCAGTTTCGTTTATATCACCATTAAATGTTAAATCAGATATAAGTTCCCTGTTATTTTCAAGCATCCTAGCAAATCGATCAAAATCGGGTCCTTCATCGCCTGATAATAGTGTAGAGAATAGATTGTTAACCAATGACATTTGTGAAGCTAAACTCATTCTATCTGCTGAGGTGGTCATATATTTAGCTTTCATTTGTTCATACTCGGTTTGTTTTCCTTGAACTTCAGATTCTAGTTTCGCAATAAAATCATTCATACCTTGTTTGCTATTGAGTTCTTCTGCTAATTGTGCTTCTAGTGCCGTATTTTTCGCCCTTTCTCTACTAATTTCTTGTTCATGGCCTGCAGCAGCTGCTGTGGCTCTTTCCTCATATAACTGTCTTAAGTTTTTTATATTGTCTATTTGTTTTTGATATTCTACCCGCAAGTCAGTTAAACATTCATCTGCATGCGACTCCATATCTTGCAAACGTTTTTTTAAATCAGTTACCTAGGATTAACAATAATACTGATATACTAATTATCTATCATTTAGTTCTTAAGTACTTTATTTATATTAATATGCATTGTTACTTGAGCTTCTCTAATTTTAAGCATGTCGTTGCTTATACTGGCTACTTTTTTCAACGCTTTCACTTGTTGCTCTAATCCAATTTTTTCCTTGTTAACCATATCTAGTTCTTCTTTGCAAGCTCTCAATCTATCTAATTCAGTTTTAATTGATGAAATAGCGTCATGACGACGTTCTCGAATACTAGCCATATATTGATCAAAATTATCATTTTCACTAACATTCGGTTTTGATACTGATATTTTACTCAATTGATCAATTACCGTTTCCTAAAAAATATTTGAAATTTATGAACATACTTTTTTTAATGTAACATTATTTTAAATCATAATTATCATAACTATTACCGGAGCTGGCAAAGCTGGCAAGTCTGCCGGACGACTCCAAATTACACCCATCTATGAAGTGTATACTGAAGAAAAAAAATCTTTATGTTTATATGGTTATTTATTAACAAGTATATTTTTATTAGAATGTAAATAATTTTTTTCTAGGTTATTATCTGAAACTTAGGTGTTGCGTTTTATTTGAAAACATGCAAAATAACGGGCACACTTTTACTGTACGTTTCAAAAGAATAATTGTTAAAATCAAACATAGACATTAAAAAAAAAAAAAACACACACACAACTTACTATCATATCTTTTGTGTTAAAAATAGTAAAAGAACATGTTATTTTAATATAAACGAATTAATAATACCTATCCATAAATCAGGTCATCTACACATAATCATGTTAGTTAATGTTTAATAAAATGAAGAATTAATAATTTAAACTTAATTAAAAAGACAAGTATTTAAACGTGACTGATAAACTAACACATAACTTTCGTTCATTGATCTCTTATCGATATAGAAAATGAATTGTCTTACCTTTTGTAAATCGTGTCAACTGAAAGAGTCGAAGGCGCAATCAATGTTATTCAGTGTGTCTGTTGTCTATAATTATATTACAATTCAGTCATATCGGTTGAGCTCACTAACATAATATAAAAATGCGCGCGCAACGACCGGGACGTGCTATTTTTAGCCATAATTTATTTTTGGCTAAGACGCAATTGTGCGACCAAATTCAATCGCATTTCGGTACTGTCGTGACCTCGTTGACCTATTCTATTCAAACACACATAAAAAATAATGTCCGAATTTTTACATATATAGACGAAAGATTTTAATGGATATATATTAAGGGAATAATTGTGTAAATAGAAATAACAATTTTATATTTTTTGTCGAATTTTTGATACTTTATGTTAAAATTACACTGCTTGTGTGCAAAGTAATGTGTATATTAAAAGTATCATACTGATATATAGGAATTTTTGAATAATTTCTTATAATGAAATATATAACCACGCTAGTTATTCTCTCAACGACAAAAAAGAAAGAAAAATGATACAAAAGTTGTACCCTGCGTCTGACGACGTCACATTAGTTTGGCAAAATTCCCAACCGTTGTTCTCTTCCGCAAAACACAAAATTATTTCTTTTATGTTTGATGTTCATTCCATTGTCATGGACCATTCTGGACATTGCCCAAACCACAAAAACTTGACAAAGCAATGGTTGATTCTACAAGTGTGAGTTCAAGAATGTCAAGGTCGGATCTACGAGCTCATGAAAATCATAGTGTTTTTAGAAATATAATGATGAAATTTATTTATTGCTACGACAATAGATAACGTCTATTAGTACTTTTACAAGACAATATGATAAATAAATTTAAAATACATTATTAGGCAGTTAAAATTTTTTGAGCTTAATTAAAATTTTTCTTTAAAATTAAAAGATTAAATCAAGATTTAATTATAAATCAAGTTATGTAAACAATATTGTTTTATACTATCGCCATATGATAATTATATATATTGTATGATTCGTAATATAACTTAGTAAGTCACATTATCTAATATTTTAAGAGAATATGTTAATTATAACACATTTTTGAAAGGGGACATAATCCCCTTAAAAAAATCCAAAAATTTTCCGACCTTCACCAATAATTTTCCTGGAGTCTGTTGACCAAACACTTTCGTTGAAAAAAAAAATTTTGAAAATCCGAGCACACTAAGTAATTTTTCCAGAAAAGCGTTATTTTCCTTGTTTTATTATATAATAAGGATAAACACATATATAATAAATTATATTAAACCATTATTTGTATTAATTATTGACAATTGACGTAATTCATTAGCAATAAAAATAAATAAATAATAATAATATTCTATTGTTCTGCAAACGTAAACTTTTGTGAAACGGATTCTATTGTACTATTAGGTTACAATCAAAATTTTATTATTCGATGAATGTATAATAGAACAATAGAATTTTAATCGTATACCTAATAAAACAATAGAATTCGTTCGATGCAAAAAGGACAGTTTGTAACGCTAGACAATGATGCGCGATAAATATTTTAACAACCCCAAAATTTTTTATGTTAGTTGCATATATAAAACTTGTTTTTAAATTCCTTGTAAATTAATTTTTACACATTTTGAAAATAAATATCATACCTAGAATAATTTTGATGTATATGTGAACATTAACAAATTAAAATTATTAGATATTTTTAACTTCGATAGGAAGGTTTTCATTTTTTCCTAGTACCTACAAAACCAATTTTTCACAATGGTTTTTCCAAAAGACCACAAATCATGTCTAGTTGAACCGATCAATGTGATAAAATTAAAAAATTCCATTGATCTCCACAAATTGGTGAAACCCTTTAAAATTTAAAACTTATAAAATCGGTAAATGTTGATACTTTACCAGTAGAATAAAATATTCCATATTTTTTCAAAAGCATTCCGTATATTTTTCATACTTATTACAAAAATATAGCATATCATTTTTTTTGTTATTACAAAGATATGTATAATAAGTTTTCCGCAATGATTCTATCCTTCTTACAAAATTATTCCACAAGTATGTGATGAACTGGGTGTTATAAGTTCAAGTTCGATCATGCGAATAAGTGTTGTCAGGAAGAGTCAAAATAATAACAATTATAATGTAACATTCACATAATAAACACTGACCACTGAATCAGTTGTCAGATCCCTTTGTATTAGGATTTGTATTAATTAAGTTACTTTCTAAATATTAGTATAATACTTTTTAGTGTTACAATAAATTCGTTATAACTAATATTTTTAAAACAATTATGGATTTCAATTATGAAACTATTATACATAATAGTTGAAAATGTGGAAATGACTAATTAGTTGTTACTGTTATTGTTATCACAGGTAACAATAAATTTTGTTTCCCTGGAAAAAGTTCTATTAAAAAAGTATACAGTGATTGAAAAAAATTCTATTGTATTAATTCTTAGAATTTACTACCACACATTATGTTTATCAAATATAGTTGTAATTGTGAATACTATCAATGTAGTTGTGCAAAAGAACGATGGTATTTACGAGGGTGTAAGACAGTATTAAGTGCAGGTGGTTTAAGTGGAGAGAAGCGTCTGGTGTGTTATGCGATAAAATAATTGCAATGAGGTTGAAAGGTAAGTTCTATAAGACTGTAGTGAGACCAGCTATGATGTATGGTTCAGAGTATTGGGCGGTTGATAAGAAAGTAGAACAGAGATGAAAATGCTTTGATGGATTAGTGGAGTGTCAAGAGAAGATAGGATTAGGAACGAATATATAAGAGAAAGTATAGGTGGAGTTTTAATCGTGGATAAGATGAGAGAAAATAGAGAGATAGTTTGGTCATGTTATGAAGAGAAAGGAATCGGAAACTGTAAGAACAGTAATGGAAATGAATGTTGAGGGAAGAAGAGGTAGAGGAAGACTTAAAAAGAGATGGAGGGATGTTATTGAAGTGATATGAGGATGGCTGATAAGAGTGTAGATGATGTGGAAGATTGTGTCAAGTGGAAGTTTAGGATAAAAGTAGCCAACCACAAATAGTTAGGATTAAGGGGAGGAAAAATAAGAAGATCCTCTGTTTATTAAATATAAAATAAAATTAAGATCAACTAAGTAAATATTCAAATACATATACTAGATTAAGAAAAAAATCAATACTTTAGAAAGTAAAAAAAGTATCAAACATTCTTGTATTATTATTTTTTATGCAAATTATGTAAATAACTGTTTCTCCATAAATTCTATTAAAATAGTTAACAAAAATATATTCTTCCAGCTAAATTAATTTAGTTGTATATTTAATTAATACTATGTTTATATACAAAATAAGTTGGTTAATAAAAATAACATAGTTTAAGTGTACGTAGCTTTAACTTCCTTCAGTAGTACTTCTATTTTTCTTCAATAGATGGTAACTAGGTAGTAATTTCATCAAAAATTCTCGATGACCACTTGGTACCTATAATATATATTGAATATTAAGATAGGAAATAATTTATATTTAAACATGAAATATTAAGCCTGTATCAATATAATATAGCATTGGAAGTAGTAGGGTAGTGAAATTAAGCTAGACTTAATAATAACTACATGAAAGTAGAGTTTCTATTGCATATAAGAGAAAAGTGCTTCATATTAAGTTTTTAATTGTAATTACCTTAACATTTTTTACTGCTTATTATTCATCATTATTTGTATATAGAAAAAGTTTAAAATGTTTTTTTTTAGCATTACACTGTACAATGTTTAAAGGTGTTATAAGAAAGTTAAGTAGTAAAGGTCATTTAAAGTTATTAAATTTATACAGGATTTAATATTAATAATTTGAAAAAATGAATATAAATATATTACTGAAGGTTTGCAGTAAGCCTTTTGTCGAATACAATTCTTTCCATAAATACAAATCCCATCCTCAACTGGTACAGTAGATGTTAAACGACAACCAGCTCCAACTACACAATCATTTCCAATATTAATATTTCGACCAACATAACCTTAAAGAAGATTAAATATTAACATATTTTTTGAATATTTAAAATTTATATTTTATTTTAGTATACTTTTAGATTCAAAGATATTATTATCTCCAATGCTATTTACTCCTTCAACTGTTGAATAAACTTCAAACACATTACTAGATCCTATTTTTAAAGTTTTAGGTTCAGATTTTTCATAACCTGGTTGAAATCTAAACATTTAATTAATGATTTTAATATATTTACATTAATTTTTAAAGTCAAAAGCAAGATTATCTTATAAAGGGAGCAACAGATAGAATATATAAATCCCTTATTGGCTTAAGAGTTTAGGTTACATTTATTCTTTTAAAGAACAAAAATATAATATATTGATAAATTTTTTATCAAAATTCTAATAAGGTTAAGTAATAACATAAAAAGATTAAGAATACTTTTAATTGTTAGAAAAATTACTTAGTCTAACCCATAGACCTCTTGTAAACACAAAAATGCAATTAGAAAAATAACATCAATTTAAATAGTTATAATAATATTATAACTATATAAATTGATGTGTGTATATATATATATATACATATATTATATGCACACTAATATAAGTTCTTATAATAAAATGTAAACACTTTTCACACAACTTCACTAGAATTAAATTATTTTGAAAAGATATACTTATGAATGATGGTGACGTATTCTTCAATAATATTACTTTCACCTATTTCAATGGGTCCAGCTTCAGCTATAATTGTAACACCAGGATGAACTATAGTGGAAGAACCAATAATTACTTGACCCTTCACCTTAATTTCTTTACACACCATAGCTCCTTGACCAATTTTAACTCTACAAAGGAAAAGTAAATGTGTATTAAAGTATTTTTCTTTAGCAATACCTATATTAAGTTGGTGTTGATCATTTGTTCATATCTATGATACTATTCTGTAAACTTTGAAAGAATGATCAAATATACAAATATAAATACAATAATATATTATATGAAATTTTTTTACTTAAAATTCTACACACCTATTAAAAATGAAAGGTAACTAAAAGTTCATACTTTCAATAATATTTAATTTTTTCATGGGAATCATATTTTTCTTAAAATTTAGTCATAAATAGTTCAATTTGAATTGAGCTAATAATAATAATTTGTTTATTAGTGTGGTACTCATATTGTATTTTTTAACTCCATTTAAGATACATATAAAACGAGTGTTATTAGCAAAATTAACTACTCTGATGATAGTAGATTTTAATTTCATTCTCTCAAACTGCCTATATTCACTTTAAAATTATATATCATATTGTACATAGCATCATTAGTGCATTTATGAGTGTCATACTGCTCTTCCGTGACCAAAATATATTTTTTTTTTTATGAAAATTACATAAATTATAAAAATCCATAAACAATATTAACAAATCAGTATGTTTTTAATTTTATATATTTTATCAAAAATGTCATTAATGACTTAATTAACAATGTTTAAAAAATAATGTAATAACTAAGGAAAATGAAAAAACTAATACGTAGATGAAAATTATATAAAAAATTAAAACAGAATTCACAATCAATTAATTATTACAAAAAAAAATTCATTTTAATCATGTATATAATAATAAATAATTTATCATATTCACAATTATAAAATCATAAAAACTAGCAAAACAAATAAATTAAAGGAATAAAAAAATATAGCTAAAATATACATATGCACAATAATAAGCCTACACAGTGTGCCAATTTGGCACACTCATTAAAAATTACATACAGAACTGTAAAAACGGATTGAAATTTTAGTAATACTAGAAATTTTATTTACATAATGACAATTTGAAGATAAAAAACAAATACATATGAATATATCTAAAATCATATCCCATTTACAGACCACACAAATATATTATGTATGAAAAACTTACTTAGATGACATAATTAAAACAAAGATTACTGTAATTACAATAAATGNAATTAAAACAAAGATTACTGTAATTCCAATAAATGGATTTATATTTAATTCATACAATGTATAAGAAATCAAAAAAGATATAGTATAATTTTCTGAATAATCACAATTTTTTTATTGCTTCATAACTGTTGAATCCTATAAAAACTTTCATGTATAAAGTTGGTTTAATTTAAAAAACACTATATTATCAATTAAGTTATCAAACCACATCATTTCGCAATTATTACCATAGATAATAAAGAATTTTTATTATCTATGATTACAACAGAATTATTAATTCCTATCACTACTATCATTTTAATAATGCATCACATTTACAAGATTTTTCAAATTTAACTAGAAAGATAACGATGTTACTTAAACATTGATTCTACATGTTCGATATTCAGTAAAATTCATAAAAAAATTTTTTAAAAATATATTATCTGAAATATTTATTAGACTTTAAACATAATTTAAATAATGTATAATTTATATTAAAGTAGAAAATTTTCAATTATAAAAGATATTGTTAATACATAAATTAATTTTCTTGAAATTTTTATTCTATATTGATAAAATGTATTAAACATTTTTAAAATAAATTTTAATCACAGTTACTGAAAATGCATATTATTCTACTTAGAAATAGGTATTTTAAAAGTCCTCGTACGATAGGTTGTGTTTTTTACTCTATTGATTTTAAATATGGTAATGTTTATTTTAATAAATTATTCTAAATAACTAAACAAAATTCAATTTGATATTTTAATTATTAACAGGAGAAAATCAAATATTACCGCCAAAATATGATCCAAAGTTTGTTGAAATATCTAAAAATATTTCTTCTCATTGTACAAAATCAAAACTTTCAATTGCATACTCTGACATTTTTTCTATGATTCTACCACCACCTAACATCACAGGATCTTTACATTTAGGGCATGCACTCACCGCGACAGTTCAAGATGTAATTTCACGATGGTAAGGTGTTATTGATTACAGAGTAATCAATATTTCACATTACAGACTTTCTCGAAAATTATTGTTAATATAAAAATGTTTTATATTAAAAGTTTTTTTTATGATTTTAAACATTGAGTTATGTTAATTTTGTATTTTTAAAAAATAACTGTATCGGTTTTAGAGGACAAACTTTAATTGAAAATTTAAACAAAAACATGTCTTATTTTTAATGCGACTTTTATAGTTGTTTTTTATAAATATTACAGTTGAATAAATTAAATTTGATATAGCTTTTAATTAACAGTCCTTTTAATAGTGATTAAAATAAAAACAATTTTTCTTGTTTTTATTCTTATTGATACAATTATAATTTGACTATGATTTGGTGGTATCTTTTATGTAAGAAATCTCATGGCTGTCTTATAGACCTAATCAAGAGTAAAGAGAATTTATGTTATTATACTACATTTTTTGTACTTTAAATTTATCAGAAATTACGGTTTATTATACAGTATTAAGTGATATCTGACAATATGAGTTTATAAATATTTATAAGACAATATTATTCTGTTTAACCTTATTTATTTTAAGTTCTAAAATAACATTAAACAATTCATTCAAAATTTAATTTAATTTCAAATACAAAGGGCTGTAATGTGTTTCTATTTGATTTTTCAAAGTTCATAACCTTAAACCTTGACAGATTCTTTTTGAAAATTAAGGTTAACATAAACTAATGTATTTAACTATAATATTTTGGGGGCACAAGATACAATATTTTACTATTTATTTATTTGTAAATAAAACAAATTTATCAAAGAAGAAATTTTTAATTGTATATTGAATAATTTTACTTATTATTGTTATGTCAACAAGGTAATTGTTTTATGATAAATATAAAATGTTTGATATAATTCTATAGATTATAGATAACATTGTTTTTACTTTAACTAGACTAATGTTTAGTGTTACCTCAAATTTCGAAGTTCTCCAGTTTATAGTATTTAACTAATTTGTTAAAGATTTAAATTTTAATGGATTTTGCTAATTCTTGTTTGTAGTGTACGAGATGTTTTGACCTATGATTTCATATTGGTACAAATTTTTAGAGTTGTTTAACATTAACCTTATAAAAACTCATTGATAATGTATTTATGTAAATAAGATAAATAAGTAACTATTATTTTTTTTCATTAATTACATTGTCTTACCTGAATTTAAATTGAAAAGTTTTAATTTTTAGGTATAGAATGAATGGTGTGAATGTAGTTTGGGTTCCTGGTACTGACCATGCAGGTATTGCTACTCAAGTAGTTGTAGAAAAAAAACTACATGCCGAGAAAAAAGTTTCCAGGCATGATCTTGGTAGAGATGCTTTTAATAATGAAATTATGAAATGGAAAAATGAAAAAAAGAGAGTGATAAAAAATCAGTTAGTAAATCTTGGAGTCACTTTAAATTGGGATAGAGAATTTTTCACAATGGATAATGTTAGTATGGATATTGATGATTTGTACGAGGTGTGTTCAGAAAATAATGGGAATTTTTAGATTTCATGGGTTTGGAAAGTCCAATTAACAAAAAAAAATTTTCATATAGTTGGTACACATGTCCCTGAAGTATGATTAAATTTTCAGTTGGATCCATTTTTTACTTTGTCAGTAGCAGCCGCTGACGGTTGGACTTGTTTTTATTAGCTCGGCAATTTTTGTTTGTTAAAAAAAATGGATCGAAGGATTTGTATAAAATTTTGTGTAAAAAAATGAAATAAAGGGTAACAAATTGTGTGAAATCTTAACAAAGACCTATGGTGAGTCTGCCATGAGTAAAGCAAGGGTTACGAGTTTATAAGGGTTTCCAAGATGACAATAAAGATGTTGAAGCTTTAGCACAAATGCATAATATTTAATGGGAACCTTTTTAAAGGCAACAACATAAATGTAGTCAAATAAATAATTATTTTTTTCAAAAAACGAAAATTCCCGTTATTTTCTGCGCACACCTCGTATACCTCTATTTTATTTTTTTTAGTATATTGTCAAAACCATAATAAGTTTTTATGGCAACTAAGAAAAATTAGAATTTATGCGACCCTAAAAATAATCCTTATCGTTTATTAAGAATTAGACCTTTTTTGCTTATCAATTAAAGATATAAATGAATAAAACAAGGTTTTCAACTCCTTTTTCGTGTCATTAACATATACCCCTAAAAAACATGTAGTTTTTGACATTATTATTTGTTTGAGACAACATGCATAAGACAAAAGGTTGTTCCTTCAGTAGCTATAATTCCTTGAAAATAAAAAATTGTGTTGAACAACATTTTCATAAATCTTTTGTTTTTGTTCTGTAGATACAATCACAGAAGTCAAATGCTTAATATAATTTTTAACACATGAGATTATAAATAACACAATAAAGTATTTTTTAGATGATGTTTTTAGTTATTTTTATTCTAATAATTAAATATGTAAATCCTGAATTTATTTCTGACACGCCCTTTAAACTTTGTTTTGTGGTATTTTCTTAATTATTAGTTATATTTATTATTATTAATATTTAAATTAAGAGAATTATATTAAAAAATTTAAAAGAGTTGATAGTCTTCAGAATCAATGAGAAGTCTGTTCAGAAAATTTCTTATAAATGATATTGGTACTGTATAAATAATACATTTAGTATTGTGCTCTTTGGTAGACATTCTTTCTGCAATTTAAGAGTGAGAACATACTTCATATATAAATATAATTTTGAGCTATTTATACTACCTGTTATTAATGAGTATATTCTTAATTTATTTTAGAAACAAAATAAAGCTGTTAATGAAGCTATTATACGATTATTTGATGATCAACTTCTATATCGAAAGAAATCACTAGTAAATTGGTGTTGTACTTTACAGTCAACAGTTTCTGATATTGAGATTGATTATCAAGAAATACCAGGGAAAACTTACATTGCGGTTCCTGGTTATCAAAGCCCTGTTGAGTTTGGTGTATTAACTGATGTTGCTTATAAATTATACAACTCAGGTAAGTTAGATAGTTAAGTATTAGTGTAATATCTTTTATTATAAAATTATTATAACTCTTCATACAATTTAATCTACATTTAACTATATGTAGATTTTTTTTTGAGTTTTGTCATAGGCTGAAATAAGTAGGGATATGAGGGGCATAGCCACTCTAATTTACAAATTAGCTCATAAATAAATTAAACAAATATTTGAGAGAGGAGAATGTTAGATATAATAAGCTCCTACAAAAATTTTGTTGAAATTGTACCTACAAGTTTTTTATAATTAGAGTATTAATTAAAAACAGAGACCATTGTTTAATACATATTTATTGATTTTTATTTTTAGATCAAGAAATAGTTGTATCTACTACTAGACCAGAGACAATCTTGGGAGATGTAGCATTAGCTGTACATCCAGAAGATGGTAAATACAAAGGACTTATTGGCACATTAGTTTGGCATCCTTTTAGAAAATGTACGATACCAATTATAGTTGATAGTTCTGTTGATAAGAATTTTGGTACAGGTAATATTTTATTGATAGTGTATTACAACTATTAGTATTATATTAAAAATTAGTATTTTATTTACAGGTGTTGTAAAAGTAACACCTGCTCATGACATATTTGACTATGAATTAGCAATAAAACATAATTTACCAATTAAATCAGTAATAGATGAATCCGGTAGAATAAATTTTGAAGATCAAGAATTTGATGTAAGTTAAGTATAATTTTGCTTATTATTATATTGTTAAAGCCCAAATTGTCTTCTGTTATTTTCTTCATCTATAAAAAAAGGCAAGTAAAACTTCATTGTACACAGTAATGTTATCTTACAAATAAATTAAGAAAATATAGGTATAACTTTATGTATAGGAGGGTTAAAATGTGTGCACAATATAAAACAATAACAATGTTCATTTTTTGAATTTTTAAGTATATTGGTGTGTGATTTAGTAACAAATTTGATGAATTTAAAATTATAACACTTTTTTGATTACTTAATAGGGTTTACCTAGATATGAAGCTAGAAAGGCAATAATTAATCGTTTAAAAAATATGAATCTTTTAAGAGGGTTTTGTGATCACAAAATGTTAATACCTGTCTGTAGCCGCACAAGAGATGTAATTGAATATATTCCAAAACTACAATGGCATGTATATTTTCCTTAGTTTTAAATTTAACATCTTATCTCATTTTTAATTGTAGGTTTATTAATTGTAAAAATATGGCTCAAAAATCATCAGTTGCTCTTCGAAATAGGGACTTAGTCATAGAACCTAAACACTATCACAATCAATGGTTTTCATGGCTTGATAATTCAAAGTAAGTATAGTTGTGTTTAAACGGAAAAATATTTCTCTAAATGTGTAATTTAGTTTTTATTTTTATGAGTATGTTGAGGTTTTTTCAGAGATTGGTGTGTATCTAGACAGCTTTGGTGGGGTCATAGATTACCATTGTTTGAATCTAAATATGGTTGGATTGCAGCACATAGTGTTGAAGAAGCATTAGAAAAACTAAAAAACAAAATGCAATTATCTACTAAAGAAGTAAATGAGTTAAAAATTAAACAAGATGAAGACGTATTGGATACTTGGTTTTCTTCAGCTTTACTTCCATTTTCATCATTTGGATGGCCAGAAAAGGTTTGATTAAAAAAAAAAAATAATTTAACAAATTTATTTCCTAAATAATTAAACTTTTATAAATGATTAATAGTCAGAAGATTTCAAAAGGTATTATCCTTTAAGTGTTATGGAAACAGGTCATGATATTCTTACGTTTTGGGTAGCTCGAATGGTTATGTTAGGTCTGCATTTGACAGGATCACTTCCATTTAAGGTATAATATTGTACAGAATAAAATTATTATTATTTAGTCAATCAAAAAACACAGCAACATTAAAAAAATTAAGTTTTTTATTATTATTATATCATAATAATAATAATACAATAATAAAAATTATTTACTCACAAACAAGTTTAGTTAAAGAATTATGTTTGTTATTTATAAGTTTATATTGCTCTTTTTAGAAAGTAATTTTACATGGTATGATTCGAGATGCACATGGTAGAAAGATGTCTAAGAGTGTTGGTAATGTTATTGAACCTGATGATATAATTCAAGGTATTTCAATTAAAGTAAGAAAAATAATAAATAATATATTTAATAAAAAAAAATGTCCACAAAAATAAATTTATAAATGTTTGACTTATTTAATACTAAAAATATTATATTTGTTGAATATTAATAAATTTTGTGAAAGATTACATTAATCATAATTGAATAAGTTATTTTGTAAATATTATAAGACATTAATTTTGGTAATACAAGGGTTTGAGATTTCAATTATATTTAAAACACCCAGCACAGTGGGGATGTGGCATAGTTGGCATAGATTTAATCTGACAGTGATAAAAATCATTATCATAAGAAACGCTTCGATGCAAATCAGTAGATAGTGTTTAATTCTAAGAAATTGGTGGATAATTACAAAGCAACATCAACTTCTATTTCCTTAATTATATCCAGATTAGTAATTCTTTTACTTATATATTATATAATTATTATAATTAATTGTTAAATTCAGGTGAAACTAAAAATCATAAATCATATACATTTGACGTATCATTTAGAAAAGTAGGTCTAGTGAGGGTTGGCAAAATAAATTGTAACCACAAAAAAAAACCACATAGTAAAATAATATTAACATGAATAAAAAATTTCTTCTCACGAAAAGTGATGGGATTCTTGATATTTATTGAAGTTATTGAATCTTAATGAGATAAAAATCAAATAAATTGAACATTTTTTTCTAACTAAAAAAAAAAAATGCAAAATATTAATTGCTACAGGCGGATGCCAACCTCGTACCCTTAGCGTGAAAGACACAAGTGGTACCGATTTGGCAACTGTTCGTCGCTTTCGTCACATGATAATATTAGCAATTTAAGCTAAGTTAAATTTAAAAGTTATTTTTTCGACTTTAAAAAAGCAAAAAAACTTAAATAAGTTTAATTTCTTGTTTTTTGAACTTTATTCTATGTCAATTAAATTATATAATATTCATGAAAGTCAGTGTATTGCCCTTATAAGATATTTTAAAATAAAATAAAATACAAAACCCAGGATTTTAACACAAAAATAGCATATTTTTAAATATGGTAGTAGCTATTTGCAAATAGAAGATAGGTCGTCGAGACAAATTTTTTTTTTTTTTTTTTTATAATACATCAAAAAAACCTTTAATTTAATATATGTTTAAAAGACGCGGTATTTCCGGAACATTTTCAAAAATTAAGTTGAAAAAATTGGTTTTTATAAAAAAGTTGCTATTTTAAATCCCCCCCCGTGAGCAGTTTAAGTGTTAGATTTTCAAAAAAATGATATCCAATAAAAGGAAAATATCTAAGGTTTTAGTATAAAAAAAAATTATGTTGATTTTTGAAAAAGTTATGGAAGTTTTAAGAAAAAAAAGTGAAAAAATGACAAAATTTACCGATTTTTGATTTTGTAATTTTTTTGGAGATTTCTCCCATTTGAGGGGAACGAGGGAAAATTTTTCAATTTTTAAAGGTAATGTCTTCAACTTGATACGATTTGTGATCTTTTGAAAGAAATCGGTCCAGTGAGAGCTAAGAAAAAGTGGCAACAGACATAAAAAAAAAAACACATCATAATAAAATTAATACCTTCTCAGCTAAAATTGTTTAGATAATTTTCTGTAAAAGATATATATTCCATGAAAAAAGGAAAATATATCTGTTTAATATTTTTATTACAAGGCTACAAGTTTATTTTTATTTCAAAATATATTTGATAATGTTTTTTAAATGACTAATTTAATTTCAAAAAAAAATTTATGAAACTTTTGTCTTTTAACATTATAACTTGCCAATTACTTTATTTTAAGAACTACATGGAAATAATGCAACTAATTTTAAATTTATCTAGTTAATCATAGAGGTTTCTTCTTCAAAGGTTCATCTACTATAATATATTATTTGTGTTAATTATTGTAAGAGTTTTTTATATTTTGAATCTGAATAGGACCTTCAAGAAAAAGTAAAAATCAGTGCAAAATCTGGTTTAATATCTGTTGGTGAATTAGAAAAAGCATTAGTAGGACAAAGAAAAATGTTTCCCAATGGTATCAAAGAGTGTGGTACAGATGCACTTAGATTAACACTTGTTTCACACAACATTAAAAGTAATTATAAAAACTACTACTTTTGTTTTTATCATTTGTAAAATTAAAATATTTATTTTAGACCAGGTGATTCATTTTGATTTGAATGAATGTTATCGTAATCGTATGTTCTGTAATAAAATTTGGCAAGCATCTAGATTTGTTTTGATGTGGGCAATTGAGAAAAGAGTTATTGAATATGATTCTCCTAAGCCCATAACAGTTACACAACAATGGATACTGAGTAGATTAGCTGATACCGTGTTACAATCGAATGCTAAACTTAAGAACTATGATATATATATAGCTACTACCAAAATTAGAAAATTTTTTTATAATGACTTTTGTGATATTTTTCTGGTACGTAACTTAAAAGTTATAGTAAAAATCAATGGGAGACAAACATTAAATTAATTCTATTATTTAAAAATAGGAAATGTGCAAGCCAACTTTTCAGTATGGTTCAGAGTTAGAAATTAAAACAGCTTGTGAAGTATTGCTTTATACTTTAGATACTTCTTTTAGACTAATACACCCTATAATGCCATTTTTAACAAAAACTCTATACAATTTTCTACCTGGTAAACAAGGAAAATATTTAGAATATCCTAAAAGTAGTGAGGTATGTTTTAATAATTTTTAATTGTATGATTACCTTAAGTGTTTAAACTATTTTGTTTAGTATGCAGATTGGTGTGATAAAAAATTAGATGATGAAATGATTATAGTTAAGGATGTAATAACAGCAATCAGAAGGGTACGATCTATTAATAATTTCAATAAAGATCAATCTGAAAGTAATATTACATTTCTATTTTAATAGAATATATATATATATATGTACTTAAACCTTTGTAGTTATTTTGATTACAAAACATCAAGAGTTACTAAAAAAGTTTGAAGATATTATTCAAAATCTATGTGGTTCAAAGTCTTTGTGTTTCATGAACAAAAATGAAATTTATAATATTCAATCAATTACTGATTTTGTTGAGGATCATACAGAAATTCATCTTCTACTTAAAGTAAATTTTTAAATTATAATTTTGTGTTAAAAATTTAGCTCTACTTAAAATCTTTGAGGTGTTATTAAGTTAAAGTTATAAATTGAAAAATATGATCATCCTAATATTTGTTTTATTATTCCGAAAAATAAAGTAGTATAATTATAAAGGAAAAATAAATATTTTAAACTTTTTTCACTCTTTGGACAAGAAAATTTTCATGATTGAGATTAAATTTCATTCAGTTCTCAGTTAAATAAATGTGAAAGATGTATTGCAAATAATGAATATTTTATTTATACTTGATATTATTTATATAATACTTTTTGCATTTTTCTTTTGATGAAGGTGAATTAAATTTGTTTTTATTCAAAACTTTTTTACTTTTATCATTTATCTATATTTTGTTCTGGCAACTTTTTATCATAAAAAAATTATGCCACGAGAGTGTTTTGATTTTTGTTATAGTGGAGATATTTTGATTCTTAAATTTGTATATAAATTATTTATTTTTTAAAATATTTGTCAAAATTTTTTTTTTTAATTGTATACATTTTTTTAGGGAAATAGTCTAGAATATAAAAAGTATTATAGTTTATTAAATTTAAGGAGACAACGACTTGACAAACAAATTGCCAAAGCTGAAAAAACTTTTTTTAATGAAAATTGTGGTAAGTTTAAAATATGCGAAGATCAAGAAACAAGAGATAATAAGGTATTTATTTAAATATTTTTTATTCTTTAATTTTTTTAGTTTTTAAACTATATTGATCTGCCTCAATTTTAGAGATTATTAAATACATAGATTCCTAAAATCCTTATTAAAAAAAAATACCCAATAATTTTTCATAAAATTTTCATTAAATATAATTTAATGTTATATTATACTTATATTTTTTCAAGTTAACTTTATAGCTTTAATTTTTTTATTTTATTTGTCTAAATAACTAGTAATTAGATACATATGTTTGGAAGTATGGGGTACTGGGTTTAATTCCAAGGGTGCCAACGAAGTTTCGTGTGATTTTCTCATTGGTGGTGTCGGGTTTCTGGTGCTAGCCAGCCATAATACCTGTGCCGTCCATCATTGGTCTAGCCAAGAAACATTTTTTACCCCCTAACATTTGAAAGAGGGCCCCCATCTTCTGTACCATATTAAGTTGGGAAATAAAAGGATGTAAAACAGATCATTATTTGTCTAAATTTTCCAAAAATATTTTATATTGATTGAAATATTACTATTTAAATTGTTCACAGTTGTATTCACTGAAAAAAGAACTTGAAAGAGTAAATATGTATATAAATACTTTAAAAAATAAAAAAAAAATAGAAGAATATGAAGTTTAATGAAACATGTTGTATATCTTTGATAAAACAACAATTTAATAAATTGACTTATAAATTCACTAATTTGTTGATTTTAATTATTTAGTTTTTTAGTTCTATTTAGTAAATTATTATTTCAATCATTTTTAAAAACTTGTTATTTTTTTATTCATAGGATATATATTTTTTGTTCATCTTTATAACAAATGGAGTAGGATTGTCATTGTTTTACTTTTTCACGAGTAGTTTATTGCAAAGTAATATAATAATTAAACTAATATCACAACCCTAAAAATTGATCACCATTCTATTCTAAAGTATTATAAACAAAATTCAGAAAAAAAATTGGCTATTAATTGTAAAAAAATGATTTTAATTGACCTTATGTATTAAATAGTAATAAGAATATATTATTAGTATTTATTTATAATTAATTTGAATAATCAGACATGAAGTAATAAAATTAATTTAAAAAAATGTCAAAAAATTCTATTGACCTCGACGTGATTTGAACACGCAACCTTCTGATCTGGAGTCAGACGCGCTACCGTTGCGCCACGAAGTCTGTTGATAAATAGTGAGATAAAATGACACTTTTAAGTAATTTTTTAATTTGTTTACTGATAGCGTAATATTAAATAATTATTCCATTACTTAATTGACATGTTTGAAAAAATATCACAAAAATGTTGGTATATTTTTAAGGATGCAATATTTTATATAGTGAAATTTAGAAACTAAAGCTGAGTTAATCAACAAAATTAATTAATTGACCTAGTATATTTAGCAAATATCCGAGTCGTAAACTAATTCGTTGAAATGAAAATGATAATTTAAAAAATGTCTTAATATTCTTAGATTATTATTTATTCCAGTTAAGTTAAATAGTTCGTCAAACAAAACTTAAAAACTTACTTTTAAACAGCTACATTTTAATACGTGCCTGAGTTAGTAATAATTATTTTTGCTGATGCACATTACTTTCGTTATCTCCGTGAAAATGAATACACTTTATTTGTAAGTTGTATTTAATATTTAATTTTGGAAGGAGCTTAAATTTATTACTTTAGTAAGCATGCTAGAGATAATTTTTTTGCTATAAAGCAGTAATCAAAAAAAAATGTAGTTATATTTCTTATAAATTATATTATATGTTGAATATAAATACTGATTATTAAAATGTAATTTAAAAGTGTATAAATAACTAACTAGGTAGCTCTACACTATTCTAACAGTGTAGAGTTACTTAATTTCAGAATGTTTTATCTACTTAAACTTATTTGATGGAGTTGAGCTATTTCTTTTATTTTCAACAAAAAACTAATTTTGACGAACCTTGCTTGACCAGATTTATGCAGTTTTTGGGTATTGATTCAAAATATGATGAACTTAACTATATTGTCATTGATTTAACAATAACTCAGGTCCCCCCATCATTGATAGCAATGTTCATTTGTAAAATAAATTGATGAACAAAAAAAATCTAAAATATGGAATTTTGTAGATATTTTTATTCAGGCATGAAATTCTGACTACGCTACTGCAATAATTCGTATTTGATTTATATATTTATTTAGATTTTGAGTTACCTTTCTATATAACTAAAACTGATAGAATTTTTACAAATTTTCAGTGATCATAGGGTATCTAGATTTAAATCGAATTCTTTAAACGTATTAATCATTAAAATCGGTCCAGTAAGATCTGAACATTTTCATGGACAAACATAAAAATAAAACATTATGGTAAAACCGTACCATTAAATACACGATATAATATAATTGATACTTTCTCAGCTATGCATTGAAGCTAATAATAGTCGTTAATCATAAGACGTTATAATAACCTACATAAAATTATACCTTCATTTAAAATATGAATTCGATGATAACAAAATGTCAATGTTGAAAAAATGTCAGATATATTGTCGAATCACTGATGACATGTTAAGTTAAATACTCAAAACAAGGCTAAATGGCAAAATAGGTGAAATTTGCTGCTATACTCTTTTCATTAAAATCAAGTATATGCCTGGCTACAATAAAATGTACATATGTCAAAGAAGGAAATAATTTATAATAGTAAAATTATTACGAGTGTCTAGCAATAATGAACAAAAAAATTATAATATATTAGTGTGATCACAAGTAAAACATTAGTTTGCTGTGGACCTACAGTAATGGAACAGTTTCAAGTAATAAGTCTGTTGGAAAATTAATGAAACTACATCATTTGTTGTATAAAGACGTTTCGGTGGTAATATTAATAACAATTTGTTTTAATATTCAAACCGATCATCTCTTTTGCTTGTTTTTTTCTCAGCATCATTTCAAAATAGCACAATAATTAAAAGATATTACTTTTCATTAAGTTGACAGCATCCTCTTCCGAAATGCGAAATCATTTCCACCCCTTATTGCAGATAAATATTATTATGATTGATGTATTTACGGTAAATCCACCGCGTTCCATCTTAATGTATTGTATAGGAACAAGTAATTTGAAAATACAAAATACCACCAAAATCACCTTAAATGATAATTTTCCAAATTACAATGTCTTTTTCATTAACGGCAGGGTATCCATTAACCTAATTGATTTAGTACAGCTAATATTATGAAAAAGTTTTTTTTTACATGTTATTTTTCACATGAATAATACTAGAAATTTTCATTTTAATGTACAATCATTTCTTATTGCTATACTTCTGTTGTTAACGAATGGAAACAATTTTTGAAAGGATGTATTATATCTCCCTATAATTTCGTTCTCTCTAAAATTGTATTTATATAACAATAAATATACTTTTTTTGATATTTTGGAAGGACTAAGTTCCTCCAATCCACCCCCCCCCAATTTACGCCTGTGGTTATCAATTAAATATTCTATTAAAATAATAAATAATTTTGAAAAAATGAATAAGGAACAAATAAAAGAAAATGTTAGAGCGTTATTTTTTGTTCCGGACCATATTGTTTTAGTTTATCAGAATCCTAAACAATTTTTGTGAAATCTTTATCGGTCATTACTGTAGTAACTTTCAAGACTAAAAATATTTTATCTCAAAGACTCATATTTTAAAAGTCATATTTTTCTCAGAAAAAAATCAAACAGCATTGCAGAACTTAATTTGTTTGAAGTTTTCTTGGAAATACACCGTTCAGCCATAGATGATTTGAAAGAAAGCATTGCCACTTATATTATCGTGCGATTTTATCGGAAACATCTGTTTTGCGCGCGTGACAAACGTTATTTGCTGGAGCGTATGTATTTATTATACACTATTCTGCATGACTTATCACAATAAAAACTTATGTACAGATGTGAGTAGTATGAACAAGGGGGCGTCAAGATAAGGGACGGAGGACGGTGTTCAAATATGCACATCATTTAGCATATCATTGGTATGCGATATCACGACTAAAACAAAATCAACAACGTGTTGATCACAATGTCCTCTTATCGCTGACGTGCGGATCGGGCGAGGGGGTTGCATTATTGTGTTGACACGTAATCGCGGGGGAGTGAAGTGTTCGATTGTGACTAAAAAAAACAACAACGACCCTCGCAGAATCATTAACACGCGACTCGTACTTAGACTACCCCGTCGACATTCGGATCAGGGTCATTTTAAAAAGATTCCAACTCAAGATATAAAACCTATCAAAGTTACCCATGTCATCGAGATACGACGCTCTGTTATTTTAATAGCCGTGCGCCATAAATAATGTTCATTAAACTACACGCAGCATTATTTTTTATTACAATAAATCGTACGGCAAGCATGGTTCGCATAGATTAAGCAAAAAAAAAAAAATTAATAACAAAACGAATAAAGCTAATAGCCTAAACCATAACACTAAACTCGTGTCTATAACGATAGACTGCGGTAGCAGTTATGTATGCCAATAAACTCTAAAAGTGTACGTGTTTGCAAGGGCGATTATAAGAGTAAAAAAAGTGCACGTTATTTCAACGCTCCGCACACCCTTCCAAATCCTACGGTGCTCAAATTGATCTATCTGCATCTGGAATTTCCAGATTTATAACATACCTTGCCAATTTGAAATTTAGTCTATGTGATTTAAATTGCACTACAGTTATAATAAATCACATAGTTTCCCTGGACATTAATTTCATTTACTTGTCACCTTTAATTTATAATCAACAGCATATGAGAGAACTAGTTTAAACATTTAAAGTTAAACCCAGGGATGGTTTGAGGGTTTTGATCAACTCTTAAATAAATAACTAATCATTTAGTAACACGCGGTGATTTTATTTTTGTGATGATGTATTTTGCAAAATTTTACTTTTTATCAAAATCTTTATAGTGAAAAAAGAAATCTTAACATTAGCTCTAATAATATGATATCATAAATAGTATCAAGATTTTTTTTTTAAGGCGCAGTCAAAAATTTCTTTTGACACGATTTTGACATTTCAAAATTATTTATTATAAATTGTACAAAAATATTGTAATAATTAATAATTGGTTTTAATAATATAGATTATCCATATATAGTTAAATTTAATAATAATAAACGGTAGCAAAATGTGGACGTGGCTTAGTTTAGGCCATGTATAAATAATATCTAAAAGCAATTTAAATCACTATCATAAGAAACCCTTCAATGCAAATCTGAACATACTAGTGTGTATAATTTTAAGAAATTGGTGGATTATTCCAAAAAAAATGAACTCTTATTTTTTAAATAATATCCTGATTAATAGTTCTTTGATTTACAAATTTAATATGTGAATATAGTATGAAATTGATAATTTATAATGAAATATTGTAATTTTTACAGAGAAATTATAAAAAATGATTAAGTACTTTATATTATAAGAACAATTTTTTCGTGTACTGCTCTGATAAAAGTGTTAAGGTAACTGCATTAATTGCTATTAATACTTATCATTAATAATAAGCACTGCTTATTAATTATTAATTAGAGTATAAATAAACTAAAAAGGGATTTAATATATTTCACAATAATTTTTAATGTTGGACAATGCCAAAAAAAGTTAGTACTTACGATAAACATGCGTAAAATCAAAAGCATTCACAAAAATAATAATTTA